TATTATTAATTATTATTATTACTATTATTATTATTATTGTTAATTATTATTATTATTTATTATTCAATGAACATCCAAGAAACTATTTTCTAGTGTTGGGCCTAAAATAATTTACAATTTGTATTGAAAACCTCGAGAGTTTGGAATATTTTGGGGTAACTTCGCAAAACTGTCGGTCCCACATAACAAACTAACAACAAATCTAACATCCCGGTATCTGTGGAAATCCAAAAAAAAGTTTCCGATTGTGTTGGTCGGTAATATTCATGTTACTATCAAATCAGGATTTTTCTAATTCTCAGTAGATGTAACAGAGTGCTCTAAATCTAAGCCTTCAAGAGAATCATGGGTTCCGTAAGTAGTTTATTGCTTTGGTACTTTTGTGATAAATGTAAAAATATATGTGTATTAACAAAACTATAATTAAGTTAAATTGAACAGTTGGAATTATTAGTCGGATTGTTGAAGGAGAAATGGGCTGACTTCTGAAATAAATTTAAATAAATTGAACTGAATTTACTTCAAAATGGTTTAGTAAAATCAAATTTGCTTAAATGATTTAAAGATCAGCGAATGATGAGAAAAATCATGGAACATAATCTCGAAAATATCGATTTAACAACGTGTGTAACATTCTGTTCCAATGATGTTATCATGAAGACGTGCAATCACATTTTCAGCCGGCGAAAAGTTACCTTCCCTGCAAGAATTAATTTTGGTTCTCGAATTTGGATATTTATGCTAAAAATAAAATTGGAACAAATTTTCAAAATAAAGCATTGAATGTTAGATTTTTTCTCACCCGTTATGCAAAAATCAACTTCCAATTGGAGCTCAAACTTTGATTTCAAGCATCATTTTAAATATTTGAAGCTTCGTGAAAATTCCCTCATGCTTCATTATTTGCTCAGTGGTTCTTTTTTATTTTTTCTACCAAAGAGCATTGCAATATATTCATCGCAATATATTCACGATTAAAATTCCTTGAAGTTATACTATTCAGTAATTTTCAAAAGTGAATTATGCTTTAAATAGTAAGAGTAGTTAAGAACCAAATCGACAATTAATGAATAAAAAAAAGGAATGGAAAAAAGACTTTCTTACTGAGCTCTCTACCTGTAGATACTAAACAGTGGAAACTACAAATATCTGAAACAACTGGTAAACTGTAAATCTAATTGATAATATGATAAAGCATTTATATTGATGTGCTCGCTATATCAATGTATCAATATTGATATGCTCGCTTAGGGCAAGGCAGGACTGCCGATTCCGCAGCAAATGTAGATCCCAAACGTTCTTGAAAACATTATCTATGGTGTTTGTGTGATTGCTGAACAAACTACGCCATCGTTTTCCTTAGGCTTACCATAAACTGCTAACCGTTTCGTTCAGTCGATTCACTGATTAACTGTTGACGTTACTTCGATACTTTCAGGTAAATAAATAACTTCAATACTTTGACTGATTATGCTGAATTTTTTATTACTTGCTTTTTAATCTTTAACAGCGAATATAAGTGACAAGCGTACGGAAGAAAAATTTTCTAAATCCATTGCAGTCCTTCAGGTTTTAACAAAATTCCAATGTCAAATTAGTTTTTCATTTCAATAAAACTGATAAAACAGTAAGGAATACTAACAATACAATTAGTGCAGACATTTGAGAAAAGTTTTATTTATATCACACATTTTGATTGCCAATTGGACAATTGATGTATTTTATTTTTAACCGCCGAAATCTAGAAGAAAAAATACAGAAATTCGAATCTGGAAACCATTATTCTAATGTTATGAAAATATGACTGTAGTCTGACTTCATATTTCGTAACTGTTTACTAACTCATTATTTTTATTTATTTCGGTTAACAAAGCATGAAACAGTAAATAGAAGAGACAATAATTTAGGAGAAATGAAACATTTTTATGTTTGGGAAGTTTAGCAGTTATTTTTCATAGTTAGTTGTAAAGATCGAAGAATATGATGAATTCCATTTGTCGAGGATTGATGCTATTATTGGTGTACGCGTTGCAATGATTCTGAATGGTTAATCCAAAATATCAACTAACTTCGCGTAATTTTATGGAAATTTAAGAACAGTACTTCGAAATGGAAATGAGTTTGAAGTGAACCGGAAAGATTTCTTTTAATCATTATAAAAGGAATGAATAAATCAGTAATTTATTTCATCCGTACATATGTGTCTCATAGAGGAGACATGCGACATTTACAGACTTTTCATTGTATTGAGAGGAGTAATTAGAACAAATGTGCGAACTGATACAATTGACTAAACATAGCAAAACAAACAAATGCGAAAAGCGATACATTGGTAGCAAAAAAGGAAGGGAAATATAATATGAAAGAAAAAGAAGAAATCATTTCTGGACTTTTCATTCTTCTCCTTAGATATTTAACTATTGGCTTATCACAAGAAAATAATCTAAACTGGATAGAACTGACTACATTGCTTTTGACAATTTCATTGATTTCTCGACAATCAAAAGGGTCGAACAAACTTTCTACTTTCTGATCTCTGTTTTACACCTCTTTTTGTTGTATGTATCACAAGTATATTTTACAGACACGCTGAGAAGAGCATTCCTTCTCGAAATTTCATACTTCTATTTTTTTCTACTTGAAGAAGTTAAGCGGAACTGGTTCTAATTGATGTTTTCAAAGCATAGCACCCTGTCTTACTGCATTGTTAGTTTTATTTTTTTGTTAGAATTACATCATGTCCTATTCACAAACCAATACCTAACTTATTATTTGGTCTGTTGCTTTGTTATGATATTTGTAGGTGCTCCGGATGAGGATGAACATTCAACTTTTTTCGATTTGACAAGTAATTAAAGTAAACTTCCATATTTGATTTGCATTGACTTTACAGTATAAGAGCTATTTGTTACTTCTTGTGATATCCAGCATCAATGTTTCATCGTTTTGTCCTTCATCTTGTTTCAAGAAACTTAAATCAATAGAACTACTTAAACAAAGTTATTTCTTCACTTGCAACATTATTGCAGAAGAAATATGGTGATTTTAATTCGAAGTTAATGTTTTTAATTTCTTTGTAATCATTTTAGTTTGATTTTATTTTCAGTGGCTATTGTAATTAGATGATGATTTTTAATTTCTTATTTGCAGCAAATTATGATTTTCGGATAAATTTACTAAGTAATGCCATTTGATCTGAGTTTATTGGAAGAATGTGAAAGTAACATATTCAATGCTTGACATTGAGTTTCTTAATGTGATGATATTGAAATGTGGTCAGAAGCCAATCCTACTAGACCTATCCGTTTCAGACTATCTCCACATTTCGCCCGATTCACGCTCCACTTTCTTGCAGGTTGGTTGAGATTATTCATATAAGAAGTAGATTTTAGTCATGAGGTGTATCTACCCTGTTATCAAGATACGATCAACAATAGCTTGTCCTAATTCAAGGTCCAATTTTAAGGTCAATAACCCACGAAGACACATAAACAGTAGACTTTTTAGTGTTCGGATTAGTTTAGAATTTCCTCACCTCACCTCACCGTTGAATTTTATTTTCAGTCCCATTTCAAATGTTCAGTTTCTATTCGTAATTGTAATTTCCATTACTTTTTGAATGACAATTTCGCACATATAATTCTGGGTCATTTAATTTATTGCTTTGTAATAATAGAAGGCCCAGGACGAGAACAATATAAAAGTGAGAGAAAGTGTGATGAGAAAGAAATAAGGCATCTGAAAGTTTTAGAGACTCTTCACCTCATTCACGAACTGTCCTTCTTTTGCTTTTTGAAATCCCAAACTTTTTTCTTCTCATTAATCATGCGGCAGATTACCAATCTATTATTTACCTCTGCATCACAGTATAGTAAGAGATGTCCAATTTCGTTTCCTATATGAATGCACTAGATTTGATTTTACTGAAACTAATATTTATGGATTTGCAATGACGAATTGGTATTTATAACTGGAGTTAACTTCCTCACTTATACACGCGTTTCTTTCAATCTCATTACAAATTTGTTTACCAGTGTGACCAAGTTTCCATCCAAGATGTCGCGTATGTTATGTAAAATAATCCCCGTCAATTCCTACAAGTTTTAGTTATTGCCATTGCCAGCGAATGAATTTGTGACTGCGATGTCGTCATCACACTCAGATTCATCCACTGAAATATACGCTATATCTCGTAACTGCTCTACGTGCGGTAAAGTTAACTTCAGTTTCTCATTTCACTTGTGCAACTATTTTTATATAATAATAGAAATGACTTCCATTTGAGATATTTGTGCCTAATATTCAGTTATATGTATTAAAAGTACTATTACCTGCATTTAAGAATTATCTTATGAGTGCTTTTCTAACTGTTAACAAATATTACAAAAAAAGATGGGGAAGAAACGGACGGGAAGTCGTTGGAAGAGCCAATTCAAGCGGAAAAACAGAAGAGGCGATTAACGTTCGTGTCGGTGAAAGCTGCTGATAGCAATGAATCCAACAATGCTGATTTACCGGATGAAAATGTAAATTTTACACGGTTTTTTATTAATTGATAAAACGGGTATTGGTGGAAAAAAATTTGAAGAAATGTCTAATAAGTTCGTGATTTTTCAGTTGAATAGATGCAGTATTGACGAACAGTGTGATGATTTAAGGAAAAGCAAAAGCGAGGTATTAGGGATTTAACATATGAAATCGAAAGTGATGCAAAGGGAAGTGAAGGAGTTATCTGTTTGGGGTCGGAAATTGCCCGACTTAGAAAATACAGTTTGTCAGCAGTATTTTTCCGACTAATGTTTGACTTTATTGTATGTGGCTTCACTCGCGCAAAGTGGCATACTGCATTAAGTTTATTCTTTTTTACAAGGACAGTAAATCCTCTTTTCTCGAGTAATAAATAATCCAGAATTTTTTCCTCCAATTTTTTATTAGAAAAAAAATGTTTTCAACCTCCCTTTTACAGGGAATTACAATTGCGGAAATGACAATAGTAACTGATACAAATTTACTAGAGATTCTTACAAACAAAACAATTCAACTGAATGGAAAGACTGATATATCAAACCAAAGCGAGGTCGATGTGGTTTCTGAAGCTTGCAGTCAAAATAATTCAAGGCAAGAATCAAATGCACGAATTTTCGATAGACCTGTTACCACCAATACCTCATTCAACGCTTTGATTTCTGAATTTCTTCTTTGTAAAATTCCCCTTAAACAGGCATTATTTAAACCCTTTTCTAGCGGAATTTTGTCCAAAGCTTCAAGTAAAACTACTGATCCATCCTCTTGTGCGATCGTATCAAACGTCAATTCAATTCAACTTTCTCCTGTTCAGCTTCTCCCTGCTGAACCAACTCACACTCCTTCACAGAACATTGAGTCAAAATCTGCGGCTGCAGCGCCGGTAATAACTACACAGACATTCACTTCCATAACTTACCATAAAAACCGTAGCGTTTCAGGGAGAAATTAGAGATGTTTCGCTATCCCCGTATAGACACAAATGAAGCAAAAGCTTCAGTTTCAGAGAATAATATACAAAAGCTCAAAAATCACCGCCTCTTCTTTAGATACTCAACTTGTATTGAATGCCGAGTAGACAAGTGAAACTTTTGCAGCAAGTCCAAGTACAACAATCCTTTCCGTCATCCTCCTCGAAATCATCCAAGACCCAAACATCGCCACCAATTCCAGCCCAGACATCATCTGAAACTTTAAAACCAGATGCGGCGCAGATACGTGCTACAATACCCGAAGCATTGGATAATCTGGTATCTATTCCAAGCAAAAACTCTACGATACATAATTATTCAGATGAGGTTGGTTCATTCTAAATTTGTCCAAAATGCGATGTTTCAGAAAAGCTTAATTTAATTAGAATTGGGCAAGTGGAAGAAAATCGGAATGATCTAGAGAATGCGTGGTAAACGATATACTTTCTGAAGGGAAGCACAACTTGAAGGGACTCGTTTGACTGTATGCATAGCAGTGATTGAAACAAATTTTTCAATAATCATATACTGCAATTATAGCGATGACTGAAGTTGAAAAAGTTTGAGATAGATGAGAAAACAGCAGGGATTGATAGAATTGCAAGAAACATTGTTACAATGCTATTAGCAGTGAATGAAGACAAAAAGGTGATAGCTAAAATGATGAAGAGAAGAGAGTGATTGATGAAAATACAGCAATCATCGACAGCGTACAATCGTTTCATGAGTGTCAAATTTAGGCTAGTCCATAAATTACATATGGGATTTTCCTCTTTACTCATTCATGGCAACGCGGACGTTGTCTACAGGTTGCTTTTTCTTTCTTCCAATTAAAATTCCACAAATAGTTAAACTGAAAAAAAATTTTTCTTCACTTTTTGTGAAATTCAAATACAAAAGATGTGTGTATGTTGAATATATGGAATAGTGGCGATATTTGATTTGTTCATTTTAGTTGCATAAATGAATTCAAGAAGCAGAAAACCTGATTGAACGTAAAATGATAGTTATGTGACAAATGAATGAAGTGGAATACTTTAAGCCTCCACAAGGACAGGCATGTAATGGAGCCAGTCAAGAGAATTCACAGGACTTGTTCTATTTCATTGAGAATTACTTATTCCCATCCGTTTTTTAGCACTATTGAAAGTTAAGATGACATTTTTAATGTTACTCGTGTCATCGACCAAAGACATCTGACATAACTTCTCGGATATTTAGTTACTACAGTGAGAAGAGGTTTTGATATGTCCACTCTCCTACGGTGAGGGAATTTAAGGAGGGGTGAAAGAGTAGAATTCAGTAGTAATAAATGATGTTGTGATCAAGACAGGATGTGATGCGGTTGGGTGGTATGACACATCCGGAATACCACTTCATGTTTGATGCTATTGGTTTTAATTACGGTGGTTAGAACATCACATCCATCGTAATTGTTGCTGTAAATAGGATTGACATTTCAGTGATAACAATAATATGATGACAACAGTAATAATGATTGTGATTTATATGTGTTTGTTGTTAACAATGCTAAAGATTAATTCACAGTTTTATTTGGTCTTCTTGAATTTACAGTTTGTAATTTGCGCAGAATTTTTTCAGTGTATCGTAAGTTTAAAATTTTAGCAAATTTCAAATCTGGTATTTGCTCCTGTGTTTCAGGTAATTCTCGGTGGCACAGCAACGGGAACACCACGGATTCCAAAAACTGTTAAATCTGGTGTTATGGAAAGAAATAACAGTAGTAGGTTTTTTTTTAATGTTAGGCCTTGTTTTTAATTAAATCTCTTTGGTAACGGATTGTACTGGTAGGCTGGTGCACCTTGAATAATGGACATAAATATGGAGTTGTCTTCGGAAGAGATGGATGAGCGAAGTGTGTACGGAACTTCTTCCCACTGAGATATGTAAGACTGTCAAGGGTGTTTAACTATGCTAATTACCGTTATACAAATCGTAATAATCCCGATGGGAGAGCTTTGATGATTCCGGGGGGAAAAAACATAGTTTTCCAAACGAACAAATAAAAATTCGTGTGGGATGTAAAACTACTAATGTAATTATTACACGTATACTTGTAACGCTAGTTTTACGAGAGATATCACTTAGACAAAAAAAAGATGTAAATCATCTGATCAGAACTGTTCTTTTGGATCATCAGAGTTTAGAAAAGCAGGAACGATCATTTCTAACTAGCAAAGAAAAATTATCGACGAAATAGTTGTTATAACGAGCACTACAAAACTTCTAACTTGTCAACCTAAAAACGTAAGTTGTGAAGTTCATGCGGCTACTAGCAGCTGTAAAAGAAAGTTCTGCTTGCTAAAAAACTTATCACTGCTAAAGAAATGATCACTAAATTACTCTAAAAGAGTTGAGTCTAAAAGAATCTGTTGCAGCTATGAGGTACTTTTAAAGGGCTAGCGTGGAATACATACATTAGGAGTTGTGGTAGCCATAATATGGTAAAGATAATATTATGCGGTTTTTAGTTTCAGTTTTTAATTTTACCAACTTCCAAGAAGAATTCTTTTTATTTGAAGTCAGCAGATAGTTATCACAAAAATTGATCCAATTCTGTGGTAAATGTTGTGTATCCTTTTCCCATCTTTCTGTTCTTTCCACTTCTTTGATATACTGATTTATTAATCTTCCGAATTGCGTAGAAAGGGCTTCACGCTGGTTTTAATACTCATGAGTTCCTGAGATGAATCTTCGAATATATGGTCAAATTGCTTGGTGATTCCAGAAAACTACAAAAAATATTTTTATATCAAGCAAAGGCACTGTTTTCACGAAGTCATTGGCCATTTGTAATATGTTTTTACTTAGCAATAATACATGATGTACACTTATAGCAAAGGAGAAATCATTAGCGATATAAAGTGATATTTAAAGCACAATTGAATTTGAATGTCACATATAGCCTTTCAAGTAGATAACTCGATGGGACTACATCCAAATCTTTTTATTTCGTTAAGTTTCAGGTAATTATCTTTGGTAACTTGTCGTTTGTATCTTTCAATGATTACGAAATGTCCTGAAAAAAAGGGACCGGAGCAGTTGTTGGTGACTTTTCTTTCGTTATTCCGTTATAAATAAATAGGATGAATGAATAAGCAAGAGGGGAGTGATTCGTGTATTCAAGTTGTAGCAGGATTGAAGTGAACTTAACGGCAATAGTTGTTTTTCGAGCTAATCAAAGATAGGGAAAAGATTGGACTAATTCGACGTATGACGATTTTGTTTTCATCATCATTAGTTGCCACTTATGGGAAATCCTAGTTTTTTGGGAAATTTAGGGAAAACTTATGAAAAACGCAGAGAGTGACTGCATGGATTATGCTAGTTTCAGTTTGGTTGGTTTCTTCCAAATCCAGAGTAATTTGATAAATGTGTCAAAAAAGCCGGGAAGAAGAGAAATATATAGACATAGCCTATGTATTTCCTGGTCCCTTTGGTACATTTATTTTAGCATAAGGTGAAAATTATTACAGTTGTGCAAAAAAGAAAGTTCTTGGTGTGCCGTAAAATCAGATATAACAAAAGTGATTCCGAGATGAATTCTGCTTTGCTTGTAATAAATGATGATGTGATGATGGGCGGGAAGCAAGAGTATCGATGGCTTCAGTACCCCACTCCCTGCTTTGTTTGCATGTTATTGTGTAACAAATCTGACCATGCCCAACTGTGTTACGATTTATGGTCGACTGTTGACGAATTTCGTTTAGAACTACTTTTCACATAAAATTTTCGCCTGATTGTCCCTCTTTTTGTTTTTCCTTTTATGATAGCTTATTTGAGCGTCTTTAATTTTCTATATCCTATCGTTATTGCATGGTTTGCATGGTATACACTGATACCGGCGAAAATTAAGGAACTGTAATGATTTCTTCAAGTTTTACTTCAGTTCCAACTATATTTATTAGTCTTTACAATGTACACTTGTTGTTAAATGGCATCTTTTCACACTATAATATCTTTCTAACGTATCGTTCAGTCACATCACTCCGCTGATACCGTTCTGATGTACAACCATACTACGGTGCTCTGCTCCACATACAGATAACATTAACCATAGAAATAAGATGGGATAGGGGGAAGAAAGTAGAGAATAATCCAACCCTGTACTTGAGAAAGATAGCATTTAATTTCCAATTAATATTACTCTCCCTCTATGTGAATATTCGTTATGTATATGTGGTCACATACACGAAATGTACGTATTGATACAATCTGCGTATATTAAGTGTATTATTTTTGCGTATTTGTGTTATATTGCCATTTATATATAAGTTTAATCTATCTTTAAAATTTATTGAACGACTGAAAATGCCACTACTAACTGGGTCAGCTGTAGTTTCTGTTATGAAATTATTTGGCAAAAAGAAGAAAGAATGTAAGTTGGAGTTAATACTATGTCAGTTATACCAAGCAATTCTGTAATTTCTTTTTGAAATTTAAACGTATCCTTTACTTTCCTAAAGAATCCATCTTAATTTTTCCTCCTTAAATTGTCAGGTCTTATCAAAATCCAAACTTTTCGCATGATCACTAAGCATAAGATACTAGTAGGATTTAGACATATTACAAAATAATGTTGAACGAAGAGAAGACAGCTTTCTAGTACTGCTTATTAAATTGATTTAAGAATTTGTCGAATTGAAATCTTAATGCTCAATAATTAGTTGAAAGAAGGTGGAAAAGGAGACTATCAGTATGCAACAGACTGAAATGTCTTTGTTTAGATGTTGATACATATCTAGTTAAGAGTGAACTTCTAAAGATTCGGGATAATCAGATCTTGATCACGAGTTGTGATCAATATCTATAATCACTCACTTGTTGTTTGGCGGTGGAAGAGGCAGTAGATTTTAGATGATAACGTTTTTGTCTTGCTTTGCCGGTTACCAAATTTATTTTCTTTTCCCTTATATAATGGTTGTAAATAGTTGCATGACTTGTGGGGATCTGTTGTTGGGAATTTCAGAGAATTTGAGAGAAGCTAAATGATTTAAATTACTGTTGGAAAATTCAGAACTTTCCTTTCTGACAATAGCAAATTCATATTAAAAATCATTTTTTTTCTTCAGATGAAATAGTTGCAAAAGAACAGGAGCCCAATAAAACGGCTGGAATGTTGTTGATGGCGGGAAGTGAAATGGAAAAACTGGAAAGTATGGAGATGTCATTGGACACAGTTCCCGAAGAAAGGCAAAATTTTATTGAAGGGATATCATATAAAATTGATGAACCTAAACCAACGATAACGCAGTTTGAAACACCCCGTAGGCCAACACCTAGGTTGGTTCAAGTTTTTGTAAAAAATTTGGGAAAGTTAGTGTTCAAATTAAATTAATGAATTTTTTATTACTAAATTATGCAGGAGTGAAAGTGGGAACGGGATTTTGTGAAAGTGTTGTGCATAGTTCGAGTTTTGTTGAATAAGATGCCAAGAAAATGTTCTTGGCACTTATAAGTGTGTATGAAAGTAGGGATGTGTCTGTTTGTGGTTCTGTGTATACAAGCATTTGGTCTCAGCTCAGCGTTTCGTTTGAACTTAGATTCGAACTTCAACTAGAGAGGCAATATCGTTTACCATTGCAGTCAGTGTTGTCCATATTAGGCTTTTTAAGACGGAGTTCAAGGGTCTTACTAACCTTTGTATAGAATCCAAGAATTTGTGAAAGATTTTCAAATCTGATTACAATAATTTTTATAGCTACTGAGAAAAGGTAACTTAGAATTATGCTTAAGAACAGGTTTTTTGGCAAAATGAATAACCCCAAATATTCCGATAAGAATACGAGGTATCAATGTTAGGAATATGAATTCTGTAGATATTTTCCGTAGATATATTTCCACTGTAGAAATCTGGATTAACCTTCTGAATTACATATGTTTTAAAGAATTATGAGAGTGAGACAGCTGTTGGAAGATTCGTCGAGATCAAAACATTCAATTCGGATTATTATATTCCTACTGCGCTTTTTACTCTAACTTTTTTCTTCGTTCCACTACTTTATTATTTTGTACATCAAAATTTGTGTCATAAATTCCTGCAATACATTACCAATTACTTTGCTGTTTTATTGTCCTCAGAACTCTGGCTATATATGTCTGCTTAAGTCTATCGGTATTTGGGATTTCATTTGACGAAGTGAATAACAGGTTCGTTCTCTCTTTGTAGGTATTTCCCTCTATCTTTCTTGAGGATAGTTTGGCATATTTTGATTGCTAGAAAAAAGTATTTGCAAAAAGTTATGTAAAGTTTAACAGAACAATGTTGTGTATTTAGAGTATTCAACTTCAAAAATTTCTGCGGATTCACTTAATTTTACGTTTTGAATCCTTGGGTTTTTGTTGCAGTGATCTGCACCGTTCATTATGTTAGTCATATACCATATGAATGTTGGGCTCCTCCGTTCTTACCAGTTACCAATTCTTACTACTAAAGCGAAGATTTCAGTCAGGCAGAATACACATGACCGATAATCGGTTGCAGAAATCTTGAATTTGCTTTATTTCTTTGCTTACCAAGCTTTGCATGTTATCACGACTCGCATGTTTTTATCAAACATTAGTATTAATTGTGATATAATGAACTCAGTAGAAATTAATTATGATGATATTGATTCATCTGAGGCATTCATCTGAGAATAGTATGTGCTTATACGAGTATATTATCTGGAAGATCTCATGTACTATCAAATTAACTTATGTTTATCGATAATATCAATCTTTCTCTTAATCCTTTTATCCGTTTCTTTCTCGGCATGTGTGATTTAACTTTTGTTCTTTTTAAACCGTATATGATGTTTCTAAAACTTTGCTAACGTTTTTTTCTTTTTTTTTTTAGTCCCTGTACTTTAACGTCGAATCAGAGGAAAAAAGTAGGAAATGAGTTTTAGTGATTGAGAAAGTGCTAGAAGATGTATATATTCTAATGCTCACAAATAATTTTGCAAGTCTATTCGACAGTTATTCAAATTCTGTTTTCAGTTATGTCATTTATGAAATGTTCTTAAATGTCGCAAATGTTCATTTCAAATTCTAGTGCGAAATAATGTATAAATTATGCATTGGACGTTTCGAATTTTGGCAGCATCATCAGATGCAAAGGGTAGTATTATTTCAAGGCTTAGATGATGATGGTAATCTTGGAATAAGGCAATAATACTAACATTCCCTGAATTTAGTTCGTTCGAAATTAACACAGATTTTATAAGGGTTGTAAGGAAGAATGAAGTTTAGCAGCAAAGAATATGGAGACTTTATGTCGGATTTGTATTATGTCATGGCTTGCATGTGTTTTACCATATCTATTCCACGGAGTTGAATTTGAATAAAAAAGAAAGAGTTCAACCGATAAATAAAATTTAAAGCAATTGGAATTTCAAAGGGTGCGCAAAAAAATGACACGAATACAAATAGCAGCTTGGCTTAGCGTGGTGGATGTTAGAGTGATACTTCTCACTGGCCACTTCCCCACTACCGTTTCTATCTCTGGAACTTATATGCTTGTCGCATAATGAAATACATTTCAATATTCGGATGGGGGGATTGAAAGTATTTTTTAGAACAAGATCGAAGACTTCAAACGTTTAACTTTTGCTTTTACGCTTTACTTGTCTTTGTTCTTTTGTTTTTAGAACTCTCAAACTCGATCATGATGGAAAGTAAAAAGTTGGTCTCTGGGACTTGTTATTCAGAGTCTGTGAGTCAGGGTGACTTTCGTACTACCTAGGCTGCAGTGTCCTGATTCATATTATAACAGTTCTTTCTCGAAATAAACAGTTATACTATAATTAATATGTCGATTAATCGACTTGTTGCTCACTAAATATTCAAAAACATACAAGTTCATTTTTTGATTATGCAATATACTTTTTGTAATAAAATTAGTTTATTCCTGCAGAGTTTAAATATTAAGCATAGAAATGTAATAAATTTGAAAAGTAGTATATGGTAGATCATCGGTGGTTAACATTTGGAAGTTACGTTGCAAATTAAATGTCAGATATTTCATAGTATGTTACTTACGTAGAGCATATTCTTGGTGTGACAATTCATAAAATTTTTGGAGTAAATAATTACATCATATTGTTGAGTTCATTCTCCGATTCATTGATGGCTGCGTGGTTGATGGGAGTTGACATTCGCTTTCTCAAACTCTTCTCATTTTATTCCATATTTCTCGCCCGCTGTGACATTAACGGAAAAGGCATACGCATCATTAATTTGTATTGTTGCATTTTTTTTATGCCTGTTAAATGCTTGAATTTTTGTGTTTTCAATGAATGGGATTTTATGAATTATTTGGTTCAGTTGTTTTAATTCATTATTGAAATTTTTTTTTCTGCGAAGCAATCAAGATTGACCTTTTATCTGAATATTCATAATTTATTATCAACTGTTTGTTAGATGGATAGAGTACTAATGTTTTTCTATTACTTGTGTTGTTGATAGTAGGATTGTTGTTTACATTCTTGTTATGTTTTTTTCCTACTTTTCGAATCTTATTGGGAAACTTCTTTTCCTGTTTTTTTAAAAAGTATTCGGGGATAATGATGACTCTGTGTAGTCTCTCATCTTAGGATTTTTCTGCAGCATAGATTCAAGAACGATTACACGTCCATCAAAAATGCGAGCCCAACAGTTGCCAGAAGCAACCATTACGCCGTTCTCGAAAACTGACTCAGAATCTACAACTGCAGATATACTTGCTACTAATACAGGTAAAATTTTTTGTTTGTGTTTTAGTTCGAGCTTTGGAGTGGTCATCAATGTTTCGGAAGTGCAACAATATTTCTTCATACGCTATGTGTATGTGATTTACAACCGCATTATAGTAATATCGACGCATCATTCTGAAAGCCAGAATAACTTTGATCAAAAAAAGAGTTTTACACTTAGAAGATCCAGTTTCATTTAAACAGATTCTACGAAAATATTAATTTATAGTGGTAGTGTTGAAATATATTCATTTTCAGAAGTAAATACTTCCGCAACTTCAGGTCAACCGCTTCCTCCAGCATCTGTAACCGGTATTGCAAGCGATGCTCTATCACAGCCGCCTCAGATATTGGGACAGCAGTCAGCAACTGCACCACGTTCACAAATAATTCAGCAAGCTCTACCACAAAGGCCGATGGAGCAACAAATTACGACATCAAATTCTGTTCCACAGCAGATATCCATTCCGAAAATTACTCAATTGGAGCAGCAACAACAACCTACAACCACAGTAGCTCCAATGAGGATTGTAACACAACCAACAGTGGTACCACCAAATATCATTCCATGTATTCCAGTTAACATAAATCCTGCTATCGTTCCTAATGTTGCAACTGCACAGAGTCATCCTCACAATCCTGAAAATCCCCAGAGGTGAATAATCTACTATAAAGGGACAAAGGTTCGCAAAATTTTTATTTAAAACAAGAAAGATTTTTGGCGAATCAATTTTGCTTGGTTTTTTAGGGGAGGACGAAAATCTTCACAGCGTGTACGACAGCGAACCGTCACTGTCCAAAGTCAAGTAAGCCTCGATATAACAGCTGCATACAATGAAGTCAAACAGGTAATTGTGTTTTCTTGAAACATCCACTCTAGTTTTTCTTGAGGGAAAATGTCGTATCATTAGTCCGTAAACAAGAACACATTTTATTTTCCTAGTTCAGAATGCCTGTCTTGTTAAGAAAGCGTTTGCTTCCTGTCCATTTCTGTCACATTTCTTGACTGTTTTAACAAAGGTGGGTAAGTTCTTTCTCTTTATAGAAATTCTACAGTTCTTTCTCTTTATAGAAATTTCTACAATATTTAAGATAAATTTAATTTAATTGCTTACTGAAAATGTTAATAGGAATTAAAGAATGATTGTGGTAGAGGAAAATCGTAATGTACTGATTCAAGTCCGTAGCATGATTTGAGACCGAGGAAGAACTAATTGCAGATGAACTCAGACGATCCTGCTGCTGAACTTGTACGACGTGTGCAAGCTATTGTTGCTACAAGAGAAAAAGAATGGACTGCCAAAAATGAAAAGGTTAAATAAAGGATTTTAATGAAGTGATCTGCTATAATGTTATATGAAGATGAATGGCGGATCTTCTATGAAGGGATCACCTGTAGACCGAATGCTACAGGTGGATCGATATTATTTGAGAATATGTTCGAATTAAATATGTCTGTTTCAGATTTATTCGTTTTCTGTTGTGTTTCCAATGTGACTTGTGAGTATTAATAAACATAATTTTCTGGATTTAATTAATGATTAGCTGTTAATGAGCATTACCCCTAAGCTATAACTCTTAGGGTAGTGAACATTGTCTATTCGTTGTTTGTTGCTAGGCAGTAAGCACTAAATTAGTTGATAAGCTTAATTACCAGTTGATGAACACTTTTTTTTTCCATTTTAACTATAAATCGCAGTTTAGCAAATATGCGATCCAACAAATCTTTTACAGTCATTTTAAAGACTTCTCACTTGAAGGAAATTGATTTAGTGAATTGTATTACAGACCGTTTTCAGTTAACTCAACTGCTTGCACATGAGCAGAAGCGTAATGAACCACTGGAACAGAAAGCTGCCGAACGATTATTAGCTATGGCGGAGTATGAAAAACTTGTGCAAGAATTTGTGGAAGAACTGAAGAAGAAAAATTCTGATGGTGAGAAATTTTGATTATTTTTGATGATTGGATAAGATCGTCGGAGGAAGGTAAAGTTGGTATGCTTTTTACACTTTTCACAAAAATTCAACACAGTTAATAGCATTATTATGATTATGGACGAGTGTAGGTTCAGTGCATCTTACCCTTTTCTCTCTCACCTACTTAATACTATATGTGTCACTTCTCAATGGGTATGGTAATGTCATTTCCACTACCAATTCAACAACACACGCAACTTCGGATGTAAGCTGTGCACCATCCCCATACATGATCGGAGTGGTTAGTGCTTGGCAGCATGAGAAGCAGTTCTTTGATGATTCATTGTGTTTGGCGCTATTTGTTTGGATCTATACTGCTGCTGATTTATATTTATTAGTGGTTTATATTGCTAGTGGCTGTTGTTAATATGAATTTTCTTAGTTTTCTTGAAAGCTCTGAATGAACCAGTGTTTATTCGTTGATTTTTGAAAGAATTGCCAGTTCAACTTTATGGCTGTTTTATTGATCAGAGAGTGACGCAAATCTTCAAATGGTGATATTGCAGAGAAAAATTGCTTAGGTGAATCAAAATCGGTGGGTAGACCAGGACCGGAAGGAAATTTATCACCGGATGATGTAACTCAACTGCTTAAAGAACGAGATCAGCTGGCAGAAGAAGTGAATTCATTAGAAACAAGTTACAGTGAACTCTTCAGACGTTATGAAAAATTGCGACAAACAAGCGTTGAAATTAAACGTGTACGCTTTCTTTTTAATTACTCATAGTTTTTCAAAATTTAGCTGACCGATTTTGTAATTGCCATTGTGAGTTGCTTTCAGAAGGCCGACTTATAGTCGTAATGCTTCACTATATCTGCTTACATTTATTGAAAAGTGTTTGCACTAAATGTTAGATTTCGGGAATTAGTTCTAATTTTTAGAATGAAGACATTGTCAAAAGCGCATCTGAAGAAATGGCAAGGCGGTATTCACTTCTTGTTGAAAAATTTGAAATGCTGCGAAGAAATGCTGAAGAGCAACTTGATCTGTGAGCATTAATTAACTACGCAAATATATACATATATATATTTTTTTCTTTTATATCATTATTCAGTGCCAACTGATTCCACTTGATATTTGAATTATATAACAACTTTAGTTGTTAGGAATGCACTTACCAAGTTTAGATAACTGAAACACTTTGGAAAGTTGGCTTTTTTATCTTTTGCGATGATATAGAATTCTTTAGTTTAGTCGATATTCTGAGCAATGATGGATTGTAATAAATAGTTAAGTGCTAATGTCTTCCTTAAACCTTTTTCAAGAAACACATGCTAGGTTATCTCCGACATATAATTGCTTCATCAGTAGTAAACTTACTCTTTGGATGTTGAAGCAAACATGTTGTCATGATACACTATACTACTTTGTTATAAGTTACCAGTTTACATACACATGAATAATTTTACCAAATGCTTTGCTTTTTTTCTGACATAACTTTTGAAAAATTTCCTGTAGCCACTTAATTTTTGAATGAAATGTTTATAGTTTTGTGTTGCAAATTACTTCACGATTATGGTATATGAAGTTTTTATGATCTCAATATCAAGGTTGTTGCTAATAGATAATTTTGCAGCGCTAATAGCGAAATAGAGAGACTGATAAAACAGCATGAAGCGGATACACTTGGTTTACGTTTGAAAGTGAAACATCAGGAGTCAAAGATCGACAGTTTGACTGTGAGTCTGGAAGCTAGAGTAAGTTGCAATATATATGCAATTAATGTGGTGATGGGAGGTGTTTGCTTCTGAAGTAGATTATCAGACAGAATCTGCGTATATAAATTGGCCTAATGCAATTTGCATATGATAATTATGCTGTTTCTAAATTGATAAAGAGTGTATTTCTATATCAGATGTATTCGTTGCGCAATAATTCAGAAAAGGAGAAACACTAACAAGTAGAATAAATTTCGAATGTGAAGTCGAAATTAAATTTATTTGAAAACCATACGAAAGTGAATGAGCTTTTATCCTATGATCAAGGAGATGGATATTAATCCAGTTCTGATTAAGTGTAACAGGGAAGACTTTTTTAATCTAATCTAGAACTCTTCTGTGCCACTAATTTCGCAAGTAACTAATTTCTGAATTATCAACTTGCATAATCCGGTAGCTATTTTCTGTTCTGTAATCCATAATCATTCACTTATCCATTTTACTTGATTCAAAACCCTCTGAGCACATAGTACTTCCATTTCAGGCTGCTATTTCAATTTTCTACATTTTCAGTTTTTTCCCATAATTTTTGTTTCGTTCAATCTGCCACGTTCCTTTTTATTTGCAGCGCAAGGAATTGGAAATCATAGCGAGAAATACCTGAGGAGAAATAAATATAAAAGCTGCTTATTGCAGTGTAAAATTATAGATAAACTGTATGATGGGGAAGTAGAAATGAAATTTAAAAAGTGGAAATGAAATTTTAGGTAGACGAGATAATTATGCAATTTTTATCAATAAAGCGTAACATTTATAGAACCTAGAAGATGTATTGAATTAAATTTTTGGAGCCCTTCCACTATTTGACCCTAACTTAAAAGCTAGCAATAAATGTTGGTTGTTGCTTTAGCAGGTGTTATATGAAATGACTTAAATTATACATAATATTACTGATTATCCATATATCCGGTTAGCGTAATTCAAGGTTATTTAACTGTGAATACTTTGCAGATTTATTTGCTTATTTTTTGTTTCATTCTTTTTAATGTAGATTTTTCGTTGCTTCCCCTTCACTTTTTAAAATAAACTTTTATATTTGCAGCAGAAAGAGCTGGAAAGTATGACAGCAATATTTGAAGAAGTAATTACGAAGGCAGAAGCAAATGATACTGTGGGCAATGCTTGATTCGAGCAAAATTCTGCCTTGATCTCAGAATGCAATGTCAGTGTGGATATATTACTTCTTTGTTGGAATCATTTGAAAGTTGCATTTTTAATGTTGTTATATGCTAATCGAATTGCAAAGCAGGTTAGAAAAGTAGTCATTCAATTCTATAATTTTCCGGTGTATGATCTCACTTGGCTCCTCATTTTTTTTTGGCTCATTTCAGATCAAAAGTAGATCTATGATTTTAACGAACAAAAAACAAAAACAGGGGAGCATTTGTATGTCGAAACACTCGTCTAGAATTCTTGATTTATATTTGGATCTAGCAGTTTTCATTCAGAAATGAAAAACGAGGAAACTTAAGAGACGGAAAAACGAAATACTTGCAAGATATTCACTAATTGCACATTAGTAATTTTATATGTATATGCTAGCGTCTAGCGTCTGTAAATACGGTGAGCCTGAAAGGCATCTGTTCTTATTTCAATTTTCTTGTGCTGTAGTGGTACTTCATAGCTTTTTTTGTACTTCATTTTTTTGCATCTTGTAAGTTTATTTGAATACTTCAATTTGCGTGGCATCTTTAGTTCTTATTCCTACATATTAAGTTGCGAAATCTTTTCCCAGATTTGAAAATTGTTCTTTTCATGGATTGTCACAAGTCCCATAGTTTCAAACTAATCTGGGGATGGAAAATTTCGGAATTCGAATTTTTGCTGAAGTTCAGTGAGATATTGTGTTCAAGTTTTAATCTCTATCAACCTTTTCCTCCTGGCTTAGTAGTAGATGTCATTTGTCCTTCAGTATTCTATCATCTTTTCCATATTCATAGTGACATCAGTGATGAATTTCGGTAGAGTCGTATGCCGTGCGTATTATCAGCTTAAGAGTTATAACAGGAAATATCACTCATCTAGTATAATCAAACGATCGAAATAAATTTCGTTTCGCTGGACAGCTATGTTTTATTACCTATATTCTGGTGTCATATTTTTCTTCTTCCTTTCTCAATCTTGACTACATAGGAAATCAATTTTTACGAAGTTTCGATCAAGAAAGGATTCGAAAAATTTTCTGGGAAAAATTCCAAGATTTTGTGGTTCATTTCTTTGCATGATGTTTCTTAAATTAATCTTTGTTGTGCAGATTTCTGTATTTATAAATCTCTAGAAAATATTTGAAACATTAGTACGCCTCTTCTATGATTTTAATTTATCTTGTTCCCCTCGCCTATTTCGTGATATTTTATTTTTCTTCATATATGTAATTGTAGATGTTTTGGCATATGTGCTTGAAAAATAATTTAGCTGAACAGTTCCTTTTTTAAACACATAAGTTGATAAACAAAATTTTAAACGCATAAGTATGGAAATCTGATAAAACAAAAAGGTGAGAAGAAATAGGGGGGGGGGGGAAATTGTGTTAGAGATTCTAGATTCCTCCAAAAGAAGGAAGGGATTATTTGAGGCAGGTGATACTTCGGAATAAATTTAGATGTTCGATAGCAATTGAGAAAAAGATGCGACACTTGAAGTTGTACGTCTACTTTGTTAGAACTTTTCCGAAATGCCCCTCTTGGTTCGTACAGAAAGTCCCACTTTAAATCCACTCTCAATTTCACATTCCATTGTTCATGGACGCTAGAAGTAAGATTCATTATGGTAAGTTTCTTGCTTTTTTTCCATTGAATTTTGTGGTAATTTCAAGTTATTTAGAATAAATCCCTTGAAAAATAAAAAATTTTTCAGAAAAAGTAGAAGAGGTTTGTGGCACCTCTTCCTCGTATTCTGAATTTTCAATGATCCGGTGGTGGGGTACAGGATTTCTAGTCTCTCTATCACAATTAGCAAATAAATCAGTCATTTCGGGGATTTCGTTGTCGCTCATACTGAAGTCTTAAACCTGTCTACTGGATTTATGGGTTTATCATCGCGAATCTTGATTCTTTCATACAGTTTATCTGAAACGGAATTGGTAATTTCTCTGTTCATTTATTCTGTTGTTCGCATCCCAACTCATCTAACTACCTAGTAGAATTGATTAGGATGTACTATCCGGGAATAACTTGCTTTTTGCGTTCGTGCTACTGACCTCATTATAGGTAGAATTCGTAAACCTAGGCTTCCACTATCAGTTATTAGCAGTAACATCATTTCGTAACAAATAGCAAGGAGCTTTCGAAGAGTAAATTGTAAAAGTTAATTGCAAATCAGAAGAAGATAAATTGAATTGTCTTCTCCGGATAACCATTTTATGTAAATAGTTAGACCGGCAATTTGTTGAGACAATTTCTGCTCTCTAACTGATATTATGTCAACGATTATATCGGAAGTGACCAGTTATTTTCAAGGAATTTTTTCGTATCCAGTCAGATTCATCAAAATAGCCCATAAAGATCAGAAAATGAAGTGATTAGTACTTGATAGAACTTTGCGATTAGTATTTGATAGAACTTTGCACTATCAGCTACATCAACAGATTTCCTTTTTGATTTTCTTTTTAAAACTTTGTTGGGAATAATAATGACTGTTTGATATTATGCTTTCCCTGAAATATGATCAGATTGCCGCAGATGGTACAACATCACAAGAGAAAGATGATTTGAATAAGGAGCGGGAAAGTTTGTCATTTTTATTCCTTTTGTTCAATAAGATATTGCATATCCGTTAATTACTTCTGATAATGTACCAGAATCTCCGTTAGTTTTTTAAATCGTTCGCCTTTCACCATTCAAAATTCAACTGTGAATCCGTTAAAGCGAAAGTTCCATACGGCCACTTGTTATGAAACAATGTATCTTTTGCAAAACGCATTCACTTACTCATTTTCAAGATTTCCAAGACATCAGAGTCAATCATTGGCTTGCGTAAATAAAGTAAGACAAAACATCCGACATGAGAAAGATCGATCATCTTTGCTTGCAATTCTTTTTTTAAAACTTTCTCCTCTATAAAGATACGCAATAAATGTCATCAATGAATGATGAGTAATTGGTGGCAAATGAATTCGGGTGAAGGAGTGATTGTTGAGCTGTTAAATGTGAATTTTATCATTTGCTTCACAAAAAGTAAAAGAGAGGAATTATAAGTTTGCATTCTAAATCATTTTCAGGCACTTTTAACCATCCCTTAACAACAAGTTTGAACATATTGCCATATATTTGAATTATCATGGGAAAATTTTTTTGAATTTATCATTCGCATATATGTATTTGAATAAAATCAAAAATTCTAAACATTTTCATACGAAATGTATAAAATTAAGCTATGCAAATTTAACAATTATAATTATTTGCTTATAAAATAAGTATACATAGTACCAGCAAATCAGTGTTTAATTTAACCATTTAACGAGGGGTATTTGGATAAGTTGTATAACCTGAGACAGAAACCGTTCTTCCGAAGTGAAAAACTAGGAAAAAGGTTTTGTAAAATCCGTGGACGAGAGAAGACAGTGTTGGTAACCTTCCATTCGCTTGAGCATTTAATTCACCTAAATTCCGGAAGATACCCTTAATTACAGGACACATCGAGGAAAAACAAACTATTCAACATGGGAGCAGCTGTAATACTATTTCTGCTCATTTTAATTGGCCTCGGTGTTGCTTACCATTTGGGAGTTCTGGAACCTTATATTAAGGAAGCGCAGGCACGAATGAAGCAAGGTGGTGGTGGCCAATAAAGGTTGGATATTTAACCGATTTGCTATTCGTTTTTGAATAAATTTTTTTTCTTGAAAATTCAGCAATTTTGAAGGCTCAAAACATACATATGTCAAATCAGAGATCCAAGGAGCAAACAACTTAATATCTTGTTGTCTCGAGAAGCTTGAATACTGATTGATCTATGTGATACATTCATTACTTAATTCATTATTTCTTATGATTCTCTTGTAATCAACTTTCATCAATTGGCTTATCGCAGTACTGATCACTGTCAATATTATCAACAAAAATGTTTTGAAATCAAATATTGATAATGGATTTTTGAATCAGTCCCGTATCAATAATACAATAAATTGTCATTAAGCTGAATGGGAAATGATAAAAGAATTATTCCTATATTATTATTGCGATTTTTCTTTACGTCCTAGTTGATTTTTATTTTACTATTTCAGCGAAAGATTTTCGTGGCATAGCTCGCTTGCTATTTGGTACTTCAAACTTCCTTTGGTAATAATGGTGATTTTAGGATAGGAGGAATTTTGATATTTTTTAATTGTACAAATAAAGCCAAGTGACAGCAAACGCTTTGAAGTGGATAATATCGCATTACCTTCGTTTCTGGAATGTTTTATGTTAAAGGTGCCAATATTGACACGTGAACTTTAGTTACTTTCAGCTACTAAATGAGACATATCTGCTTCCTGTTTTCTAAAGATATCAGCCACTCTCTTGATATTTTCTTCATAATTCCCTTTGCTTCATTAAAAATGTCTAACCATCATTTGAAACTGTAGAATATATGCGTGATACCTTGTTCGATATACTAATTTATGAAGGCAAAAGAAGTGAATAACTAACGAAAAGTCTCAGCTCTTCCAAGAGATGCCCTATGTTGCGGTTCTTTTCATCACAGAAACTCTGATGGAATAGTGACAACAGCTAAGCAATGCAATAATATGATTTGAAACTTAAATTTATATTTTCAAGAGAAACTCCATCATTAAAAATATCGACATTAAGTTAAACGATTTGCTAAGCGGTATAAGGAAAAACGTCCTTGTGATAAAAGTAGATATTTCGTCTCGAAAGTTTATTTGTTGAATAGGTATTAATCTTAAAAACGGACTTAAACTGATTTTACTCATCAACGTACAGTTTTTTCATACATTAATGATACTTAGATTGAAAGACGAAACTAAAAAAATCTGCCTAATAGACTTATCATATACTTAATTTGAAGATCAATGCACAAATACTACTTCGCAGGACATATATAAATGTGGAACCATTTACGAGTTCAAAGACTTCACAAAATTCATATTCTTTTCAACAGATCTTTTTTTAAAAAAAATCCACCGTATATAGTTTAGTAGATCTTGCAGTCGTTTTTTTATTCAGCCATTCTTATATATTTTTAATACTGCAAGTTTACAATTCAATATTTCCGACGTGACTCATCAATATCTTGGCTTTTTTTGTGTTAATTGAATTATGCTGAACTGCCATATGGATCCATAATGCAGAAAAAAGCTGCGATATAACGTAGCAAAGGTTTTTCAAGAAATACTCTAATAAGACTGAGATCAATTTTATGAACACCATCAGTATTGTTAATTAGCTTTCAAAAGCGGCTGATGAAAACTACTAGAGTACGAAAATCTAATTTTATAATGAAGAAAGTTCTAGTGCAGTTCTGAACAAGAAGTACCTTTTTTTTCTATAATAAAAATAAAAGCAAGCTTATATAAGTCCAATCAATCGACTATAAAGCATGAAGAAATGAAAGCATAAGAACATTATAAACATCTCTGCATACGAATCAAACTCTTTATATCAAAAATCATGCAATCCTTCGATATATCCAATTATGTATAAGCATATAACCAAACTAATTTCACAATTTCAATGAACCTGAGATTCTCGCCAAGAATTAATCTCATAGGTTCCCTAGGAATGCCCATCGCTGGCCGAAAGAGGTATCGAACAATTCATGTCAATTCATGTCATTCGAACAATTCGAATTCAATTCACGAACAATTCATGTCAACAATTCAAAAATCTATATTTAAGGAATGAAGTCGACAAGATTTCATGTCAATCTTTGGAAGAAACAACAGTTAGTGGTGTATAAAGGTATTCTGCAAGTGCATGAAGTTTTGCCCGAAGCAGGCCAAGTGACACTTCACTGCTTGCTTTTATTGCTAGAAGCATATTGGCTATACGTGTAACAGCAATCACCCCATTTTCGCATTCCACCAGCATCTCCGTTAAGTTTTCTCGTACTCCTGGAAAATAGTTCGACATTAGGTAATGTATACTGCAAAATGCATTAGCTTTTGATTATGCAATTTGTCTGATCCCAAGGTATCCCACTACTTCCCGAACATCACTTATTTGCGACAGAAGAAGATTTAAGGAAGACCTATCGAATAACAAGAGTGAAAAATACGAAATAAAACCCAAAGATTCATTCGTAAAATTGAATCGCATAATATAAGTATAATGGAAGGAAGCGATTTTATCATTATAAACAGAAGGGTTACTATGAAAGTATTAATTTGTTTATTCGTCTCAGTTTGATCATTTATGGCAGAAATTTTTAGTAGTAAACTGCAGTTATTAGACAAAAAAAAAGAAAACGTTTTACCCTGTCTCTCGAAAGTTTCCCAAATATTAGAAATCAGAGCAGCAGATACGGTTGCATTTGCATCATTTCCCCCAACACTGTCATAACCACTGTAGGCTAGCAGTAAACCTGGAACAAACTACATGAAATCAATCTAAATATCAAAAAAAAAACACTTGCATTTAACTGGCTGTTCAAAAACTATTAGCAAACACTTGGTGCGTCGATAGTCTCAGATGATGTAATCAGAAGGATGGAATTCATTCCAGCCTATACTTTTGGCCAGCAGAAATAACCAGTTTAACCTTCGACGACAAGATAAATAATCATAAAGACATTCACACTGTGAAAATAATCCTGGCAAATTCATCAACCTGAACTACATAGTCCCATTTGTCTACCTTATAACTTCGTTCTCATTTTCATAACGTTCTTTCGTCGTTACTTTTTCACTTCAATTTTGCGTTGCTAAAGCAGAAGAAAGTACTTTTCAGTTGTACTATTTAGAAAGAAAAGTGCAAGTGAATAACCTTCACGATTCAATAGGAGAGCACCACTCTTCGTATTTGGCGTATTGACTTGTCCAAGTACTTCAGTTAATGCTTTCGGTTTCAACATTACTTCGATTCAAATCTGGTCATAAATTCCAGCTGCATTAAATACGAGCATAGATATACGTCAGAAACCTTACCTGCATTTCATACCTACCCACACCCCATCTTTCCTTTTATATGGTCATTCGAAAAAAAGTTGGAACTATATTCAAGTGAGATTAGAAAACCCAACGCAGTCTACTTCGTAATGCTAGTAACGGTTGCGCGTTACGACTTTAAAGGCTCTGGGCAGTCACACACACACGCACATACACACACACATACGCACACACGCACACACACACATATAAACACACGCATGCACACACACACATATACATACACATACATACATACACACACAAAATTTCTACAGGTGTACCATTTTCTCTGTCTCCTACTTTATTTCAAATACAAGGAAAATAACATAAAGCCAACCGCGAACGAATTGTTTAATAAGCAGCCAAAACATATATGATATTTTACATTTTATATAAACGAATACAATATACAATAACTGAAAATTGAAGAGAAATAAAATGAAAATAAATTCTCAAGAAAAATACAGAAAAGTACCACATCTAATCACAATATCATTAAACCTCCTCGATAAAAATGATAACTGCCTCACCTAAAATTCTACATTTTACAAGTTGATGATGTGAAACATAAAGTAGCTCATACGAATATGAAAATTGATGATATATAACGTGACTATAATCATCACCGACAATCATGAAGAATAATGAAGAAGTTATGTGAAGGTTTCAATTACTATAGTAATCAGTAGAACTATGAAAACATCGGAAATAAAAACCTTCCATGAATAAGAAACTGACTGCAAAAGTTGATGACAATGGAGATCACAAAGTTGAACCAATCAATTCAAACATTTCACTTCACTGATTTAATTAACTGCAATTTCAATCAGTCCATCGATGTGCGCAACTTGGATTCATGCAAACATAATACAATCTCATTTCTTCCTAAAACAGAGCTTTTCGGTTTCTACTTGAAACAACTTCTACTTGAAATGTTGTGTACAAATGCATTTTAAAGGTTAAATGTATACAAGTGTATTTCATTCAAATGTGTAAGAAATGTCATTAAATGAGTACAAATGTATTTTAATGTGAAAAAAAAAGTTAACGAAAGCATACTTCGGCTCTCCTAGATTGGGCTTGAAAAAACACAGCTTCTCGTCCCTGACACATTGGACAGGGATGATCCTCCGTTTTTGGCAGTGTCGGGTCATGTACAACATCAGCCACAATTTGAGTTAATTCACTAAAAACAATTAAAAATGAAAGCATTAATAGTGGACTGGAAGACTGATTAGTCTGAAAGTGTAGATAACAAGTGAAAGGTGAGGCAAGTGAAGAACTGCCTCACCTTTCATTCAAATTTGAAACTAAAAGCTAACCTTCCCAAAGAGTAAAATACAGTATTTATTCAGAGCAAAACTTACTCCACTTCATGCATCAATTTGTTGACATAAATACATGGATTTTCAGAAAGCTGTTTGTGATCACAGTTCCGACATGCATATAGTAATTGCCTATTTTCTTTGTCTTCTTTCGGATATAACATATTATTGCTGAAATAATTCTCAGCTACTGCGAAATATCATTAAATATCATAGATATTATTTCTTCGGACGACCACCTGGGAATTCAAAATGAACTTATCAAAGACCGGCTTGAGCAACCCCAATCACACATCACTTCCAATTGAAAGGAAGAACTTACCATTCCGGACAAAATTTTATACCCACAAATCCAGGCTCCGCGGTCATTCTTCAAATTTATAGTATTTGCGATATTCCTCGTCAGGATTTATACTTCAGTAATCTTTTTTCCTTCGAATCTCCACTCCTTCAGTGGTTTGTCTTAAACCCTTGCTGCAATGTAATCACTGTAGCTCCAATGCGTTTGCTTCAATGTCACTAGCTCCAATTGCTACAATCAAGCGCACCAAGTCTAATTTGGCCCAAGCATGTAACACTCGAGGACTGTTTCTCCTTCATATCTGATATCTCTGCAGCCCTCGAGGACGATACCACTTACTAATCCTTCAAATGAAATTAGGAAGTTAACGTAAAACCTTACAAGTCTAGCTTACATCCAACATTCACCCCTTTGCTTCAGATTCCAAGCATTTCACTTCGATAAATATCCGGAATATTCCAATAAAAACAAAATTAACAGTGGGAAGAAAATACTGACTTTACTACTAACTTCACTTTAACTTATGGCATTAATAACACTATAAATCATAATGACTGGACAGGAATGATTTTAAGTGATGATAAGTTTTCATCAACAAATAAAAGATCTACTAGTAGCATGCCGATGACAATACCAAGTACCTGTTACGGTTTCCTCATAAGCTAAACACATCACACTTGCACTTTGCAGCGAAGCACGGCATACGTCAGTGTGGATCTGATATATACTACAACGCATTTTGCGGAAGATGATAAAATAAAGGAAATCAATATAGGCATGACACTACATAAATAAGCTACATAAACTGCATGATAACTACCAGTTAGAATGTTTAGACAATGGAAAATAATAACGAACTATCACAGGAATCATTTTGAACATGTACCCACGAAGCAAACGGGAAACATCCTTCTGCTTATTGTACAGATTGAGTGTTATAATACTTTCAGTCAAAGAATTTTCTATTCGGATTTTCACCAAACAAAACTACACGAAGTTGAGGTATAATCTGCAATTTTTTTCTCGTCATCGACATATACGCAAAATTATACACAAAACTATGGCTACATCTCAGAAATTCAAACCACATGATTTGAATATATACAATCATCCAACTTAGTAAACTAATCTGAGTTTAGTATAACCGCAGAAAAAAAAGAAAAGGACTAGCAAAGAGCGATAAAAATAATCCTTCTCCGAAGATTTAGTTTCTATTAACTTCAAGTACTTAAGTGTCGGCAAGTACATTTTATAATGAAAGATGAGCTCCCCCAACTACAATTTTGCGGACAGCTCGTGATCTAATCCTAGTAAGTATCACGCTGCAAGTATGTGTGCTACCATAAACCATATAAATATATCGTTAAAATGTCAGTACTCCTCTGAAAGATGAAATTGAATCTATTCTTTTCTTGAGGAAACATGATTTACCTGGGCAGCAATCAATTCTAGACGAGATTCCAGCGTCGATGAAACCTTTATCTTACCGTTTTTTGCTGAAAGTTCTACTCCACCAGCACTTTCATCAGGTAAATATTCGGTCGTGTCAATTCTCACCTAAAAAGAACATGCAGTACCTCTAACAAACCAAAACAGACTGAAGCATAAACCACTGTGCTCTTTAAAATCTTGTTAACTTAAAACATATTAAAACACAACGCACAACACGAAGGGTGTATTTCACAGTATAAAAAAAGAAAAGGGAAGGATTTTTCTGCTTGATGACTGGTCGAGAGAACCACAATTCTCGATCAATCAACAAACAAAAGGATTTAAACCTTTGTACGTTCACCCCACTGTTGCTCAAGTTCGTCGAGACATTCCGGTAGGAGTTTTTGCACCGATAATTCATCTTTCTTGCGACAACGCAGTGTAACTTCTGTTTCCAGTAACTGGAATAATGCCTGCAAGAGTTAGATTAGGATACTATTTAGATGATTTACAACAATAATTCTAAATCATTACCACTGCATTTATGCCTGAGTAAAGGGCAGTACCTGCAAGATTAAGCCTTTCAAGATTGATGGATATTTGGCGGAATCTCCAGAAATTCGGCTCAAATTCAACCTCGCTTCTTCTAGAACCTTGTTCAGATGATCTTCGCGTGCCTGTAAATGAAAGTATTAAATGCAGTAGTAATATCTTCAGCGTAAACAACAGCCGTTTTCCGTCTACGCCGTTGTACATTCAAAATGAAGTTACATAAATTAATTAATATCTCTCGAGATTACCTCGCCAATTATTTCTCGGAATACTTAGACAGCTAGCCAAAAAATGTTGAGCATTCTTACTTTCAGACATTTTAAGCGTCCCTGATTGATCATGTTCGAATTCTGAATTTTTCTTTGCAATTCCACCTGTTTTTCTTTCTTGTCGTAGTATTCCAAAATTTTGGTTCGCTGCTGCTGGACAAGGCGGCCCTGGAAACTATCTTGTGTAAAAGGATAATTTTTAACCAAACTTCTCTAAATAGTCGCTTTATGATCAAGAGCTATTTATATAGTGATGACTACTGCTATCTCAAGCGCAGGCAAATATATATATCTTACAAAAGAAATTTCGCGATCGCAACAATTAAATCACTCTGTTTATTCTGCCGTAACAACGCACTATCTATAATTTGGGTAGCTAAGCCGAGGAAACAAGAACTTGGAACTCCCTAGTATATATTCTTAGTTTCGCACTTCGGGACGATGATATCACATTTCTCACCTTTTCAATATTGAATTCCTCCTCCGCTTTTGCATCAACTTCTTCGGCTTTTTCAATCGCTTCTTGCTCAATGAAGGCAATCATATGCCGCAACTGTTTTTGCACATCGTTATCTGATAGTCCCATTTTATTTCGTCAAGAAGTACTGGATTTATGATCAAAATTTTTAATCACAAAGTAGATAAAGTTTCACGTAATCTACAAGCAATAATAAATGTCGTTAAAACCAAAGACTAGACAATCTTTCACGCATTTATAACGCGATGCACGAGTAAGTTTGAAACCAGAATCTAGGAAGATTGCATTTAACCAAATAATTTACAAATATGAAAGCATTGTACAGTTAGCCAAATGTACGACAAGCAACACAGTAACTAAATATATGTAGTCCTGCAATATGGATAGTTAGAGGAAGTAAGACAAGAGTAACGCGCATAAGATTAATGTATACTTGATGGAAGAAAGGCATCAATCCACAGAGATGTAAGTCCGTCCAGCACCACATATTATACCACACAACGTGGTGCAATAGACATCACCACCCCGCACCAAGCATCTAGAACAAGAAGCTAAAGATCACAAATCGCTTACCATACATGGTCGCAGCCCATATCGCTGCGCTCTATGCAACAATTTACAATCCATTCGGTGTAAAACTCATCTTCTACAAAAAAACGAAGCATCTTTGAATTTTATTAGTAAATTTGTCTGCATTCGAATGTTATAACCGAATACTAAAATTGTGTTTAGGAAATCTGGTCGTTCCTGTTGGAGACGGTTAAAAAATGTAAACATAATGGGGCAAGAGATATTCTGTTGATATCGGTTAAACAGCCAAAATTAGGAATATCGAATGTGGGCTTCATTAGTTTTCTGTTCAATTAATTACTTCTATTCTCTTCAGACAGGCTGAATATCTATAGCATGATTCCGTGCAAGAGAGATGAAGCACACCTTCCTCTCATATATTCGTTATTTTGCAATTTTCTTGTTAACAATGATGTGAAATAATATTGTTTGTTGCATGGATATATTCTGTGTGAATAAATGGCGCATTTTGCTGAGAAAAAAAAAGTATCTTTGAACTCCCTTGGTGATCTTGACAATTTTTAATCATTTCAGCTTTTGTGCATCTTTTGTGCATTACGCACCACCGTAGTTTGATGATATGGAAGAACCAAAGTATTGATTCTGTTAATCATTTCCGATGTTGGGATTCTTCTCTCATATGAGGGAATACTCTGATATAACTGTGTCATTTTTTACTTCTCATTTCCAGGAGAGTCTTACTTTAGCGCAACTGTTAAAGCATTTTCTTGAAGCAACGGAATCCACCTAGTCTCGATGAGTCAAGGAAGAATCAACGAATAGAAATAATTGATTACTCTTTGCCTGAATTTATATTAGCACATCAATCCACAAATAATGTTACCATAATCGCCTTATAATCGTCTTTTACAATTAATCGATTAATGAAACATTGATAATTGCGAGAGCATGATTAGTCAATGGAATACTGTGCAACAACTAAATGTTGATGATTACTTTATTTAGAAAAGACTATCTCTTGCTTCTAAGTAAATCTCATTTTGGAGGTACACTGTTACTAATAGTGACTGTCAGATAATGTATGTGTTTAGCTTAATCAACGATAAATAACTATCTGTCCTAATATTCCTAAAATGTTCACTTATCCTCTACTGGATCGATTTAAATATTCATCGAATAAAATGGGCAGTTTATTCTTCTCAATCACAACAACAAATACAATATCAAGCGGAACTGTTTCACAAAACTTATTCAAAGTCATCCCCACGGCTTTAGACTGATCTTTTGATTTCCATTACTGAAAAAAAAAAATGATACGAATATTATAAACAAGTTCAAATAAGTTCAAAGTGCAAAAACAAACGAAAACGTACTGGACTCCGTTTGGACAAACTAGCTTTGTATACGGCCCATAACAAATATGTGCGTATTGCGGACAATGACAGTGATGGTGCGGATGCCATGGACATGACAGAAGCTTCCAGCAAATGAAAAGGTTTTGAGGAGTTTGAATTCCATGACTGACCGTCGATGTTGATCGTCCACTTAATGAGTAAGAAGTTGGAGCTGGAGAAACAGTTGCCAGCATTGAAACTGCTGGTTCAAGAGAAGCAGTAGATGTGGAAGTTGTTAAGGGGGAAGAAGCTGTTGGCGTGGAAGTTACAAGAGTTGGAGAAGCTGTTGGCGTGGAAGTTACAAGAGTGAGAGAAGCTGTTGGCGTAGAAGTTACTAGAGTGGAAGAAATTGTTAACGGGGAAGTCGTTTCTGAAAACCGAATCACTGCTCTACGAAATATTTTGATAAGTTATCAGAAATTTATATATATCCTAACAAGTTATCTTAATACTAATCATATAATTCATTACCACTCTAATGGTATATCCTGACAAATGGTAAGAAAGTTGGCCTTATCATGGTATATTCAAATTAAACTTACCTTCTTGGCCCAGTACAACTATTGGCGAAATTTTAACTAGGATTGCAAAAAATAGTCGGAGGTGCATGCTGCCAAGATTTCGTAAATTATTTCTCTATCGAGTGTCTATTTTGAGTATTTATATCAAATTGCTGTTTATATTATTGAAAAGCATTATATTTTGATAAACCTATTGATCCGTTTAATTCAGTTGTTGTCTCAGAAATTGGTTACTTATCGAAATACATTTATCAATTTGCAAAAATTATTCTTGTTTTGTAATTGTTGAGGATAGTTTCGGATCTAATTTTAATCTCTAACCTTGTTTAGCATTTTAATCTGTGATATTCTCCAAGTAAACAAAACAATTGAGCATGAACAACGCATTTCCAATAATAGCTGCTAATTTTGGTATGCTCACTGTCTGTGAAATAATCTGTTCGAAGGCTGAAATAAATGATAAATATTTACATTATATATAATATACAATAAATTTTAATATGTGAACTTTTTGCACTGATTGCAAGAACAGTTCCCATTTTCTGATATTGTTTATTGTTCGCAAAAATTCTATGTCTGATTTTTTTTCTTTTTTTTTTGAAAAGGAGAGAGGGTGGGGGGGATTTTATAGTAACTAATTAAAGTTTTATTTATCTTATTCTTCAGGATTTATTCATCAACCGTAACTCAATTTCCATTCATTTCCCTGTGAAATTAACATATTTGAATTATTGTGAACTGAAAATAAGAGAAAATCTATTAGAGCCAACACTGCATCACTATATCAGACTATAATTGATATGATTTAAGAATATTGGATGCAGTAAGAAGAGAAATGATCATCACATAGCGACGATCGGTAATTTTGAAGCTAAAATATAACCTATCGACAAATTGTGCGAAACGTGACAACATTGGTATTGATGTAAATATCTTTCAAAAGGTCTCAATTGTCATTTTTCCAAACAGTTTTATAATTGTTAATTTTGATTGGCATGAAGAAAAGCTATTATATCCAATTTTTTGCCTCTACAAAATTCTGTTAACGGTGGTTCTTTACTGACGCGAAAAAGCGCTTTTCTTGGAAATATTTGAAATATTTTATGAAAAGTAAGACTTTTTCGACAAAAAGAGGCTAATTGCACATTCGGTAAGTAGTCAAACCTTCAATAAATGATGCCGCTACTCATTAATTTTCTAAAAGTCTACAAACAGTTCTCAAATTATCTTCACCGGTTTTTTCACACCTTCATGCAAAGACCCTAAGTTTATTAAAATGAAAAAGGTAATCAGATGTAAAACAATAGATTCATTAAATAAAATGACAATGGGTTGGATAAACGAAATCAACATCCTGAAAAATAGAAATTGAGAACCACTTGCTAACCTTTAGCACTTTCGAAGTATATATAGATAAAACTGACAATTAAAGGAAGCGAGAAGAAAAGCGACAAGATGGACATGCCCAATCAGACGAAAAACCGAACGAAATTATACAACCGAAAAATCAGTTGATCAAAACTTGTGTTTAATTAATATCTAATAATCAAAAAAAATTAACCATTAATTAGCAGCTGCTTAGATAACTGTATTTAATACCAAAGAGCGTGCCGAAATGCCTTAAGAGCATATGATTATGAGTCATGTTATTTGGGAAAAAGAGATATCAGCATGCAATACTGTTTTATTGTGTGATAAGACTTTCAAGAAGATCGTATTATGTGGAATTTTGAAGCATCCTACTGGTAATTACTAGTAAGAGCGAATCCCTCACAATCCAATTATTAATTTGATGAATTTCAAATTCAAAGGTTATGATGAAATTTTTTTTGGAAATGTGATGCTAACATTAACATGTAATCTGTCTGTTTTAAAGTATTGAAGTCAAATTACAACAGAAATTTAATTAAGTTACCCTTAAAAATATTACCAAAAATTGCGAGGTATCTACGACGTATGCTAATCCTTGTGATCAGTAGTACTATGTAAAAATTTTTAATTTCAGCCTTCGAACAGATTATTTCACAGACAGTGAGCATACCAAAATTAGCAGCTATTATTGGAAATGCGTTGTTCATGCTCAATTGTTTTGTTTACTTGGAGAATATCACAGATTAAAATGCTAAACAAGGTTAGAGATTAAAATTAGATTCGAAACTATCCTCAACAATTACAAAACAAGAATAATTTTTGCAAATTGATAAATGTAGTATTACGACAAGTGACCAATTTCTGAGACAACAACTGAATTAAACAGATCAATAGGTTTATCAAAATATAACGCTTTTCAATAATATAAACAGCAATTTGATGTTAATATAATGATGTTAATAGAAATACAAAAATTATAATATTAACATTCGCCATTAACGACTAGAATTTTCTAAAAATATAACTTCAGTTCTAATACAATCAGTAATTCTCCTTTCTTAAGTTTCTAATTACTGTCCAACGATCATTTCTTAAAAACCTTTTTCTTCGCAAACTTTCGTCAAGTACTGCTTACAACTCATCAAGCAGATATCTTTTAAGAATTATTTATATTACTCAAAAATGGGAGGAAATAACAGTTCGAAGTGTTTGATATTTTCTTTATTTTGCATTATAAATATTTTTTTCCTCAAATAATCAATTTTTAACAAAAATCATTTTCTATCGCAGACTTTTTTCTTGAAATACCGCTACTCAAAGGATTTGATTTTAGAAACGATTGATCATGTATGTACAAGCAAATTGATTTGAAAATCATCCCAATCTGTCGTAATTTGGTTTGAAATCATCGAATTCTGTGTGGAATCGTCATATCATGTATTTTTAGTGTTAATTCAAAGGTACCGAAAATATCGAACTATTCCCCAAAAAGACATCGGGCAAAGAGAATTGTGCACTTTTATGGGAAAAATGAATAAATCCTAAACTGTTTATGAATGTTTTAAGGCTGTTAAATGCAAACTCTTCATGTTAATTTAACCAAATCTGGACAGATTAATTAAACCAAACATTAAAATAACTGAAATTACAAGCCATTTACCACTTAATATAAAAAGTTTCTGAAAGTGACACAATAGTTCCAAGCATCTGACAAACTTATTAATATCAAAAATGCTAGAACTACGTAGTCGTTAAACCACTGTGGTCAAATTACACGCTAAACAAGGCCAAGCATCCAATTTGCAGTAAAAAGAGCGAAACGAGTTGCTTGCTCGTTATTGTAATTCTTTTGGCTATGGAAACAGAAGAAATTTTAACTACTATAAGCCCATTTAAAGAGCAATCTGTTGTCAACAACAACAATATACATAAGAACATTTGTACTGATTGAAATAGTCCCCCTTTTTTTTTTTTTCGTAAAAACATTCCCTTTCATTTATCCATGGCTATCCAGATAGAATCTGCTTAGTTAATTAGACAAAAGCAAGCATTCATTGCCAATAGATAGAGACTAATAAACAAGAAAAGCCTGTATGAATGAAAAGTCTGAGTAAATGAAAGGGCTGAATAAATGAGGATGGCTAAGATACGTTCAATCATTGAAAAGGATTTTTATTAACATATGATTATGTTCCCAGCATGTTTGATCTTTGAGTTTTCTTTTAGAACTGATATCATATCGATGCAAAAAATTTCCATTTATTTAAAAACTTCTTTCCATGTTTCTTCGAAGAGATTCTGCGAAAGTTGTAAATGAACATAAGGATGGTCAAGAAAACGTGATGATCCTGAAGGAAAATTTAATTTTTGCAATGGTCATCATCGGGAACAATCTGTTAGCTGAATAGGTTTACGACGGGAAACTGAAAGTTGAAACTTTTCTTGCCTTTGTAAATTTTGTGGAAAATACCATTTTAGACATTACCGCTCTCTCTATTTTCTTTATTTCCAGTAATCCAGAATTCTAATCCGATAACATCGCCATTTTCCGGATTACACACGCAAAGTATATTGCAGTTGCATTTATACTACGTCAACATACCCGATGAGACAAAATCGCTGAAACATTTGTTATACCTTAGATGATATTAAAATTTACTTTTTCGGAAATCTATTCGAATAGAATTCTGTAATTAATTTCAGAGCTATTCGTTTCGATATTCCGTATTGCGTTGTGATTCTTATCATGATATCCTTATCGTCTCTTTCTCCTACTCTGCGTCATTTCGACTATCATGATCCTTTGAAGATATCCGTTGGTTAAAGTTTTGCGAAAAATGATTGTTTTAATATGTTAGGCATTTCCCGCAATCAAGTCAGAACCATTTCTCATCTTTGTTTGTTAAATTATTTGTTAAATAATAATCTTCAAAAATTTTAATACCTCCAAATTTTTACGCTCATGAAAATGGTCCATGCTGTCTCCCTTCCTTCGAACATTTACAGTAATTTCATAACCGTGAATTTATATGCCATCTACTGGATAGCTGAACCATTAAAATTTTATTGCAAACCATTTAAATTCACTTAATCCTTGTCTACCATTACAAATATAATTAAATTACAACAAATTTTTAGCCGAAATGTTGTGAAGCGTGAAATCCATATTTTGACAAAAAGCTTCGATAGTTACATGGATGGATGTGAGACGTTTCGCTAAATCTTTTGGAAAACAGTAATTACACTTATAAATCACTGGCGAGGGAGAAAAGGCTGAATGATGGTCGATTAGGAAGCGTCATAGGAATTTTCCTGGGAAATACCGATATTGTACCTTCATTTTTTGTTTTCAATCGGCTTCTTCAAAGAGATTTTTATTAGAAGGAACAACACTTTAAGATAATTCTGAGAAATTTAGAAGGCGAAAATTCGGCCACTGTTGTTTATCGGTTTTAAGTAAGACCAACCTAAGTGTTTGAATGATCTCAACTCATTTCTGGTAATGTTCTCTTCGCAGACAGTAATAACAACTAATTAGATTCTAATTGATATAATAAATTTTGCCAACTAAAACGGCTTAGAAAATCTGACAATTGTCTTTTTTTCTGAACGAATACAAAATATAGCTATACATTTCATACTCATTCCTATAGTAAAATAAATTTTTCATTGCAGACTTTTCATTTTGCATTTTGTGATCGAAACAAAAGCAACAGA